TTAATTCACCTAAAAATGGACTAATTATGCTATAACATCATCAAGTACACTGTCCACATGCATGGGGCCCCGGTTGTTTCAGAATGCCCTTTATTATAACAGCTTTGCTCGAATCAGGATCAGGGTTCTCCAGGGAAACTGAACAATAGAACATCTATTGGTATCTATGAGGAGGTGGATTACAGGGTTTGGCTCAGTGGGATGTGGAGGCCTGAGGCCCCAGGACCCCTGTCTGCAAGCTGGAGGCCCAGGAAAGCGGGTGGTGGTAGTCAGTCCAAGTCCAAAGGCCCGAGAACCAGAGCTCCATTGTCTGAGTGCAGGACAAGACGGATGTCCCAGCTCAGGAAGGGGGAGAGGATCCACTCTTCTCCCTCCGTTTTGTTCTATCAGTGTGTTGGGTGAGGCCCAACCACCTTGGGGAGGGTGATCTTCTTTATTCTGTCTACCAACTTGAATGCTAATGTCTTCTAGAAGCTTCCTCACAGACACACCCAGAAATGGTTGTTTTACTAGCTCTGCGGGCACCCTTAGCCCCAGCAAGCTGACACATAAAATTAACCGCCACAGGCTCCTGGTCGTAATTGGTCACCGGGACACCTGGCAGGCCCGCCCCCCTTCCCCCGCCCCCCTTCCCCCTCCCTCCTTCCCCCCTCCCCTCCCCGTCTCCCCTCCCTTTTCCTCCCCTCCTTCCTCCCCTCCCCTCTCCCCTCCTGCCTTTGCTGATTAACCCCTGCATCCAGGAATGGCCCAGGAGAGGTTTGAGTCTTTCATTCAGAGAAAAAAGAAATCTTTGCAAAAAATAAATAAATGAATAACCAGATTCCTTCTTCCCTCGCACAACGGGAATCATACTTAAGGTTTCCTGCCTCAGTGTGAGGTCAGAACCGCTCACACCGTCCCCCCCCACAGAGGCCACTGGAGGGGCTTTGCCACAAGAGGGGGCAAGAGAGGCCTTTGACAGCAGGGACGGAAGCCGGGCGCAGAGGGAAGGGGCTGGGGAAGGGCAAACCTGGAGCACACATGGCCAGGCCGTATCTCTCCTGCCCCAAGAGCCGAGAGCCACTCCCACCCAAGGCCCCTGCGGCTCCCCCCCAAGGATGAGCCCCAGGAGCCACCCCTGAGGGGGGAGAAGGAGAAGGAAGCCCTTTGGCCTGGGGTCCAGCAGGTGTGGTGTGCAAGTCCCGGGGTCTCATCTCTCCCACAGGGGTCTCAGACGTGGAGGCCAGGAGTCTCTGAAGAGGAACCTAGAGATTCTTCTGGAAGCTGGGATTCCAGGGGGAGGCCCTGCCAGAGCCAGGGAAGGAGTGGGGGGAAGGGGCAGCTTTAGGGCCACCTGGACCCACCTTGGATCAGCAGAGACAACCTGGGGCGGGCAGGCAGGGGGACACCAGCTGAGACCCCTCCGAACCCTTCACCTGGAGATGTTGGTGGCACACGGGCTGGGGAGACAGTTGGTGGAAGTGGGTGTGGGTGTGGACGGGGCGAGAAGCACGCTGAGGAGTGGTTCTCCTGGGGGGCACAGACACCCCAGTTCACGCAGTTCTCACACTCTGGGCGCCCTGCTTTTCAGCGTGCGGAGTGAATTACCAGGATCCGTGTGCAAGAAGCTTCTGGACTAGTGCAGAGCTCCGCCGCCTTGCTCGTCACATGCCCTGGCCACAACGTCCTGCTTTTGTCCCCAGAAATGCACAGGGGAGCTGACTGCTAAGTGGGTCACCTCGAGTGAGAAGCAGGGGACTTCCGCTTAGGCCATGAGCCACATGGACTTTTTAACAGGAGCACCTGGGGGCTGTCTGCCCTCAAGGGACGGCCCAAGTGCTCTTGGGACCCAGGCCACCAAGTGACCAAGACATGAAGGCATGCTGATTCCTGCGGTCAGCACGCGGGTCCAGCTTCCCCATGTGGCCTGCCCACAGTGGGACCCACCATCTCGGGTGGTGGCTGACCAGGACCTACAGAAGGGCCAGGCTGGGGAGTCCCAGGGGTCCACAGTGAGAGCGCTTTGTGGTCCCTATGACCATGCGGGCCACCTTCCCGGCAGCAGAACCACAGCCTTTCCCCTAGGGGTGCACAGGGTACCTGACTCTGGTCCTGCTGCCCAGGACACATCCCTACAGCCTCACGTGGGGGAAACCACCGATCTCCTCACAACTAGGTCGTGTGGGGTGTGGAAGCCCTAGGGTGGGGGCCGCGCGTGGGGATGCTGGACCCTGGGTCCTGAAAGCTCCCCAGTGCGGGGGTCCCAGGCTGACCTGTGCGTGTGGTGTAAGGGCCTTGCTCCTCTCCGTGGATTGAGGGGAAGCTAGACTTACAGTAAAATGTTAGCTCCCACGAGGCCAGTGGGGTCCACAGTTCAGGAAAACAAAACTTGGCCTGCCCCAGGGCAGGTGACTCAGAATGTCCTTTAAAAGTGCTCTGGGTCCCTAATTTGTGGCTCCTTGTCTGTGCCTTCAGGGGTGGGTTTTCTGCTGGGGGTGAGCCTGGCAAGCATCTGCCCTCCTCTGCGAGCCGGGTCCCCGGAGGCTGTGGGAAGATGCGTGAGTGTGAGCCGGGGCGGGAGGCAGGGGGCAGGGCCACGGGTGGGGGGCCAGGACTGTGGGAATGGCCCACAGCCTTTCCGGAATCAAAACACTGGCAAATGTCAAAAAGTGCGTAATTTGTTTTACTGAAACAGGCTGCTTATTTATGTTTGGAAGGCCTGTTTCAAGGACTCATCTTGGCCCTTCTCAGATGATAGCGTCAACGGAAACACACACAGATGGTGGGGGTCTGGAGGCTCCTCCTCGGAATGCAGTGCAGAGCAGGAATTCGTGCCGGCTGCAGGGGGACCCCACCCATGGAGCCCCGGGGTGACAAGTCTGCGTGACCCCTGCCTTCTTGGTCTGGAGCTCTGGATCTGGCCATGGTTGTGAATTCTTCCAGCGAGTTCCAGACCTGCAGAGAGTGGACGTGGGGGCTGCGATTGGATCCAGCCCAGGAGAACCTGGGAGGGGGTGGGGTGTCCTTTATCCCGGGCTCCGTCAGCACCCCCAGCCCCCAGGGGGCCATGGACTCGGGCTCGTCCCCGCTGCTGTGCCCGCTCCTGCCCTTCGCTGGGCCCCTCAGCCCAGGGGGTGTGGCTGATGCTGTCCCCTCTGCGTCCCAGTGACCACGCCATACCCTCCAGTGTGTCCCCTCCTATGAGCTTTCCTCCTCAGTCAGGGGGGTCTCTGCTCCCCGGCCTCCTCTCTGCCCCTTTTGGAAGGTCCAGGCTCCTGTTGCTCAGCCAAGTGGTAAGAAACACACCACCAAGGTGGGAGCGCCCCACGCATCGCTTGGCTCCGTGGAAGGCAGAGCCAGCGAGTGCACGGAGGCTGGTGGGCTGTGACGTCGTCCTTGCCGGAGGCACAGCTGAAGGACGCAGCATCATCCCTGAGCCAGGGCTCCTGTCTCCACTGCCATGAGATGCTCCCGTCGTCATCTGTTAAGTTCCCGCAAGTGTATGGTTCTGTCTCTGGCCTTTGGGTCCTGACCCGCAGACCTCCTTTTGCCCATTTCTGCCCAGGCCACAGTTCATTCATTAGGATGGCTTTATCGCAAGGCCCTTCTGCATCCTTTTAAACGCGCCTGTCAGCTGGTCCTGCACATTTTCTCTTTCATATGACGTTCAGAGCAGTGGTAACGGACCTGTCCTGTTGGGAGTCTTACAGGGATTGCACTGAGTGCACAGGCACAACTGGGAACATTGCCATTGACGTGACACGGAGCCCTGCTCAGGAGTGGGTCTCTCAACTTATTTAGAACTTTGGGGAAGTTTTCTAGTTTCCTTTTATGTCAGATCTGTTCATCCTTGGTTTATTCCTGGGTTTTATTGCTGTCACAAATGGCACGCTTTTCCTCATAGATGTTATGATTATGTATTGTTTTAATGAATATTATTATTTTTATATATCGACCTTAAAATTGGCCACTTGTAATTCTAATGGTTTGCCATTGATTTTCCAGTTTGGATTTTCCTAGTCAAATAGTCCTATCAGTATGCAATTAATTGTAGTTTATCTCTGCGTTTAGTATTTGCAAATCATATATTTCCTTATAGTATTACATTTGTTAGGAGTCATATAAAAAATCAGGCATCTTCC